ATTATTATTATTTTATGATGAATAACCTTCTCAAGACAGCATCCTTTGATCCTACCAAAGTGTGAAGAAGATGATCTAACAGGTTTGAAAAAAAGAGGTAACATAGTTCAAATCCAAACGAGACAACCATGTAGGACAACACTTGCAAAAATGAATTAAGGCTATAGCAATAAGTAATCGTTTGATATAGTTATAAGTTAAAAATTGATAATTAAAAAATAGAAGTTAGTCGGTGGTGTTTGGGAAGTCTTGAACTTGGATTTTTTTTTTTTTTTTCACAAAAAGACAAACTTTTTGCAAAATTAAAAAAAACACATCCAAACAAAATATCACATCTAACCCCATAATCATTTCATTTTTTCTCTCACAAACATCACATTCAATCACAAAAAAACTCACCTATCTTCCCAAACACAAAAAAATTTCTCCAATAATATCCTACAACTAAAAAAATCTACATAAAAACTCACTTCCCAAATTTGTTTGGTTAAAGTTAGGTTAGAGAAGTACAAAAGATAAAATAGACTAAATAAGCCAATAAATAAGACAAAATGTCACATCTAAACTATAATCATTTTTTTTTCTTTCACAAAAATAAAAAAAGTCAAACCAAACGAATTTTTTAGTCCCAAGCTAAAAAAGTCTTAATTCAAAAAAATCAATTAAAAAAATCAATGCCAAACCGCAACTTAAAGGCATCTCGTTATTAACTTTTAGATATTTTGAAAAATTTATTAGAATTTTTTTTTTAAGTACTTATATTTCAATTCGTCCATAAGATATTTTTATATCTCAATAAGACTTTTATCTATCAAATTGTAATTCTCATATTTAAGATATTTTATGAATATTTTTATCCTTACAAATAATTTTTAAACCCTTAACAATTTGTTGACGTGAATATTCATATTTAATAAATTTAACAGTGTAAATGTTCACGTTAACGGTCTTTTGGGAAGAAAATAAAAATCAATTTTTAGCTTTTTTATCTATTTTGGGTCATATCACCTCTCACATTTTTTATTCATAAAAAGACAAAATAGACTAAAAAAGTCAAAAAGTCAACTTTTTATCAACTTTCCTAAACACTCCAATATAAACATCAATATGCACTTCACCCTATTTATTATTAGGAATATTTTGGTAGCTATATCATCCATAAGACTTATTGAAATATAAAAAAATAATTTTGATTAAGTGGAATATAAAATAGGACATGAGAGATTTAGGAATAAATACTTCTATTTTTTTCTTTAACTTATTTAAACTATTTATACCCAATACCCAATAAGTTATAAGTAAAAATTACATCAAACAATCTCGTATAGACTATCAAAATAAAATAAAATAAAAAATTATAAATAATTCAGATAAATTATTCCAAACAGCCTCATTGTCCGTCCTTATGCCTACACTTTGGCAGGAAGGGTTCTCTATTTTCATTTTTTTTCCCCCCCAACATTCTGTCATTAGAAAATGTTAAAATTATCAGATATGAGAATCTAGTTCATGTTTAATTGTCGAATTAAGTTGATTGAAATTATGCACTCATTTGGCATATTAGTTGGATTGTTTTTTTTTTTTTTTTGGTTAAATTGGATTGTTTTTTTTTTTTTTTTAGTTAAAATAGTCACAAAAAGATAAAATAAATTAAAAAATCAATAACATAAAATGTCACATTAAGACTATAATCATTTAATTTTTTCTCATAAAAGTAAAAAAAGACTAAAAAACTCATCCAAAATGAGATTTTTTAGTCCCAGATTAAAATTGTCAAAAAATTAAAAAGTCAAAAAGTCAATCCACATTCCAAACGAAACCTATTAATATAATGGAATTAAGTAATGAGATTATTATAGTATAGTATAATGATATTGAATTAGAAATGTAATATAAATTGTATTTGTTTGTATACTATTATACTGATATTAGTTGACTCGAATTAAATTTATAAAAGAACAAATTACTCATGTAGTTCTTGAATTTGCCTCTTGTGTCAAATTGGTGATTGTAATTTTAAGAGTGCTGCTATTAGCACCTTAGAAATTATTTTGAATCCTTCAATTTTTAATTTTTTTTATTACAATAATAACCTCAAATAAAATTACTAAAAAGGACATCATTAATTTTAGGACACCCCATCTTATAATTAAACATACACACTCACTACATCATGAATTAAGGTTTATAAGAGCACCCACCTTCATCAGCACCCATCAATCTTCCCCAAATCTCACCTTCAAAACTTTGAAAACCCTTTAGCGACAATATTACACGTGATAACAGTGACAATCATTTGACTACCTATACTTCTTTGGCAATGACAATGAGTAGAAGTTTTTCTGGTAACCACAACTCCATAAGACGAGAGGAGTACAATAATAAAAGCTTAGAGGAGGTTCATAACTTTGATGTTGTTCTTAGCTCAGAGGAGATTGGTCTTGTAAGGGTAAGTTTCTTAAAAAAAATGGCAAAAATAATAAAATATGTTCGTCATTTTTTCAAAACTGAATTCCCGAACATATGATCGAAATTCAGGAATACAGGCCCGAACATTGTTTATTTGTTCAGGAATCAATAACCACACATTTATTATTTGTTTGGGAATGTAGGTTCAAACATGAAAATTTTTTAACATATTGAACAGTCAAAATTGTTAACGCTTGCAGAAGTTTTTATTTTTTTAAATTCAGGATTATAGGCCCGAACATTACTTATTTGTTCGGGAGGACAATGTAGGTCCGAACATGAAAATTTCTTAATACATTGAATGGTCAAAATTTTAAACACTTGCAGAAGTTATCGGAAGTAACCCCAATCCATTATTAGGTTCAAAAGTTATTCCTTCATCGCGTAACTTTGATAATATTGTTGCGTAATTCTCTGTTGAACTCACAATTTTATAATATCTACCAACAAAATCAACAAAACCATTTATTATAATTTTTTTTCTTGCAAGAGAAGAAATTATTACGAAAAAATGAAGAAATTATGTATATATATAGAGAGAGAGTATACCAACTATGACAATGATGGATGAGACGGCAGAGACAGTAATCACATTGGCTCTTCTTCTTCTTGGTGGGTTTTGTTAGGATTTTTTGGAAGAAGAGCTTTTTTTGGGGTGTAGGGGTGTAGGAGGTGTGCATTTACTGGATGAAATATTTTCATAAGGATAATTTTGATATTATTTGAGGGGGAAAAAAATTTTAAGAATTTAAAAATTTATAAGTAAAAACCAAAAAAATAAGAGTCCAAAATAATTTATGTGGTATTAACAGCACCACTCATTTTAATGGTATCCGTTTTTTAAAATTCCCAAAGCACACATTTATTGAATTTGGTATAATATTAATGGCCAATTCATGATTTGGATGTTTTATTTACGGGATTTCATTTCCTCAAAGATGTAGGACTCAAGAAATGGGTCCCCCCAAATTCTCATATAATTGAGGAAATGGGAACTCAGGAGCACTTCTGACAAAATGTTTTTGAAAAGCAGAAAAGGGGAACAACATAAGTTTCACATTTTCATTGGCTTTCCTCTTTTTTTTTTTTCTTTTTTTTTTTTCACCGACGAATTAGGATAAACAATGGGGCTTAAGCGAAGGAGTACTGTTTATTACTACACTTTAAAAATAATTTCTCATTTGGTCTCTCTAGTTCGTGATCTGACTGGGAGTATTGTTGGGTCTGTGAAGGTTTACTATGGGTCCCGTTTCGATAATTCGAACCGTGTAATGTGTAGAACTCGTCGAGTACTATATATTTATAAAAAATTATTTTGATCGGATATCAATAGTTATATGATCAAATCAGATTTTTATAAGCCATTCATTTTCATATAAAACTGAAAGTATAAAAAAAGTCAATTTTTTTAAAATTTTTTTTTAATCTTTTTTAAAAATTGTAAAGAAAATTAAAAAAGTGATATAATTCAAATAAGTCAATAAATTGACCTTTTTTATTTTTTTTATTTTTTTTTCTAATTGTCAAAATAAGTTGTACCAAAAAAACTCTTTCATGCAGTTAGAGAATGCTTTACTGGTGGTTATATATATTATATTAGACATATATTTGCTTGTATGCATGGTGAATTTTTTTTATTGAACTTCTGACTTTTAAAAATCTGGTTTCGTCTCTAACTTTTGCTAACTTGACCTAGTCTTAAAAATAAAAATAAAAAACTCAAAAAATACTTTTCAGTCTTGTTTGTCTATTTCAAACTAGGAGTAATGTATATTACCCATTTTAATAAAAGCAATCTTGACAAGTACTTGTATTTCAAAATGAAATATCCAAATTCAATCACATCATCATTTATATAAAAAATTTATAAAGATTTTCTGTTTATATAACATTTTTTTGCATTTAAGGAATCTTAAATTTTATTTGTTTTGGCCAAGGTTTAAATCAAAATAAGAGGAGGGAAAAATTAAATAGCAGATTTCAAATTGAAAAATGCTATGGACCTGAATAAATTATCAAATTTTTTACCAAATCTCTCGTATGAGTGTGTAGGATCCACACAAATCAAATATGAGTGGATCCCAAAGATTTGATAAAAAAATTTAGTAATTTATTTAAAATCTTTAACATAACTCTTTCCAATTATCATTAGTTTGGTGGATCTCACTTAGATGCTCTTATGTTAGGTACACACTAAAAACAAGGCACATAAAAAACAACCAACCGACTTTCACCTAAATAAAAATAAAAATAAAAATAAATCACTGTATCTGAAAACAACATATATATATATATATATATATCAATAGATTCAAGCCATTGAATTTACCGAGTTAACAATTACAAATCAACACACATCTGTTCTTTGATAATTAAAAGAATTTTTTTTATTTATTTACAAAACAAATGAGCATTAAAACTTTAGTGTATTTGACTGGTTGGATCTACTGGGGCCCCAAGGTCTGAACAATGAAAGAGATCATTCACAAATTCAAGAATTAAACACAGTATATGAGATTTTAGCGAGAAAAGAAAAGAAAAACCAGAACATGTTAGCAATTAAGTAACTGATTTCCACAATGTCGTTGAAATAAAGTTCCTGCTACCATTTATTGGATTCAACATATTCTTTGTTGGGATTAGCAACTCCCAAAAAATAAAATAAAAAATGGATTTAAATTGGTAACAAAGAAAGAATTCCCAACTGAAACATTCTACAACATCTAGAATAGAGTTCCAGCAATGGCAAGAACTGATTCTAGACAATTCAATCTGCAATACTTTACTTCCAGCGGATAATTCAATCCTTGTGCTTCAACCGTGCCAAAATAGACATTGTATTTGATTGATGGCTGAAATGATCTTGCAAATGTTGCATTCCCTGTTTCTGTCACTCCCAAAACTTTGAACATCAATTCTGTGTCCTCGTATTCTACAATGGGCTGGGATTTCGTGCAAAACAAACACACCAACTTCATGACTGCAACGGATTTTGGTAGCCATGGTTCATCAGAAAACTACAGCCATTTCTGCAATAAAATAATGCAGTCAATCAATCACTTGTACTAAATACATAATAAATTACCAGTATCTACATAAATTATAACTAACATATTATCGATCAGAGCTTCAGTGTTGAGGCATTTAATGGAGAACCTATCATATCTACTATCATATAGGTATGCTCAATACAAACTTAAGTGATTGTTTGTACTAAAGAAGCAATTATTCAGGTTTTCATCATTGATTAATCATCCTATGAATTACTGATCAACTTGCACAAGTTTGATTATCCATCAAAAGCCAGAAAAATGTGCACTTCTCAAGATATGATATGGTACGCATGCACAGTACATAACTGAATTTCCCATGGTTCATGCCTACTGTGGCAACATTCTAAGGTCAATACAGAGAAGAAGAATGAAGAAGAAGAATGAAAGATGGGCAAAAGAAAAAGGCCAAAAAAAAAAAAAAACATTCAGAAGGACATGGTAGGCCTTTCACCAAAATCCCCATATTTGATGAGCAGAAGCACAGATATGGACACGCGACAAAAACATGACACGACATGACAATGAAACAAAATCAGGGACACAATGAACAAAATATATATAAATACAAGTATTTATTGTAAATTCATATAGAAAGTAGGAAACCGCATTATTTCAATCAAATTAGAGATGAAAATACACAAATAACAGTTGTATAATGAATATATGATATATCAAAACAACAGAGCTACTAAATAAAAACCAAGAGCTAAGCATCCATGCCATTTTTCATATAATCATCATTCAAAATTCTGAAGTCCACCATTTGACATCATATAATCAAAATCATAAATTTGCCAACTACACAAAACATATACAGTCAAAAACCAAACTTTTAAACAACACCCACAGAAACAATAATATGCAGAGATATCAAAACAACAAAGCCACTGAAAAAATTTCAAGAACTAAACATCCTCGACATTTTTCACTTAGTCATCATTCAAAAGTCCATAATTCCACCATTTGACATCATATAATCACAAAGACAGACCGGGACTAACCTGTGAAGTGAACAAACTACAAAGCTTCCACGAACAACGTTTCCCTCTTTTCTGTTTGGAAAGAACATCAAGATTACAGTGGGCCTTCCATGAAGAAGAGAGCAGAAGGAAAGACAGAGAAACAAAGATTGGGGCCATACCTGACCAGCGATCAACAACCTTTGAAGAAACTTCAACACACCGACCTCCTCCTCCTCTTCTCTTCTCCCTCTCTTGGCTAGGGTTTGTTTAATAAAAACTTCTATGCTTTTCTTTTGTTTTATTTTGTCCTGAGTTTTAATTTCACACTATGACCCCACAAAATTTTTCCAAAAATTCGTTCTGAGGTCTGACTGTCCAAACCAAACTAAGCCTTGAATCTCAATCAAGTGGGGATCAACTACATGAATCAAGCAGGGTTGGTTATGACCCTCAACATGTCTGAGCCAAAAAAATAAGGAAAAAGGCAACACTCCTAATGCATCAAACATTGAAATTCAATTAAGATGCTTCATAAATCACAAATCTAAAATTCATGATACTCAAAAGGATATTTGTGTCTATTGAAGGGCACAATGATTGAGCTGCATAATCCACAAAACTTGTATCATTGAGAAAGATGACACCCTATATGAGTTTTGCAAAGGTGGAAAGGAATAAACTTACAACTTTAATGTGTTGTTTGCTTGTGTTATTTTGCTAGTTTTTTTAAATTTTATGAAGCTTTGATGTAATTTGTTTTTCCTTTTCCGACCCTCCCCAATTGAATTGTTTTAAATTTTCATTATGAAGAGTTCATTTTGGAGCTATGTTACACGGACTCGGATACGGGTATCGGGTGCGGGTGTGTATCTAGGGGTCGGACACTTCAAAATTAAAAATTGAGGATATGCGAATATGTATCCAAATTTGGATACGGGTACGGGGATACGTTAAATAATTTTTTTAAAAATATATATATATTTATTATATGAAAAAAACTATATTTATTATATGAAGATAAGTTATATTATATAAATAACAAATAAAAATTATTTTAGATATAAAATAAATTATATTATATATAATAAAATAAGTTATTTTTATTTTAGACATAAAAATTATATTATTTATGATATATTATATTATGTATTTTTTTTTGAATGAATGATATTATATATTATTATATTAATGTAATTTATACTATATGTTAATGTAAATGTAATATGAATAATGGATGAATAATATTATATATTATTATATTAATGTAATTTATATTATATACTAATATAAATGTATATAATATTTATTATATATTATACAATATAAAGAGTAGAGAGACAGAGAAGGAGAGAGAAGTCAGACAGACAGACAGAAGAAGAGACAGGAAAGGAAGAGGGAGATCGAGATCGAGAGACGAGAGGAGAAGAAGAGAGATCGAGAAACGAGAGTGCAGACAGAGAAGGAGATCGAGCATTGAGCATCGAGCAACAAGCAAAAGTCGGAGCTGTCGAAGCAGCGAGTCGGTGACTGATGTCTTCGTCGTTTCGAAAGGGACCAGGTTGTCTCTTGCTCTGTCCTTTTTCATTTGTTTTGTTGTCTGTAAAGAGCCGTGTCTGAGAGAGAAAAGGCAAATCTGACACAGATCCCACACCCGCACCCGTGTCGTGTCGTGTCGACAGGGGTACTTCAACCCAAAGTGTCGAGTCCATGGAACACAGTTTTGGAGAAATAAACATGCTTGAATTATTATTTTCAAGAGCTTCCCACATTGACAAATGCCAAAAAGAGAAGGCCTTGAGTAAGCAATATAGACAGATGTCGAAACAAAGTGAATTTCCAAAAGATCACACTAACTAAGTGTCCCCAATTGGTGTAGGGGTTAAATTCCTACCCTTAAGACCGTAATTGATAGTTTACCACCCCATTTTTCTTAATAGTCAATTCTTTTGGTGTCCCATTTTAATCTAGCATACCCAACTAAATAATTTTTCTTCTTTCTCAATCAAACTCAACCAATTTCAACGGCCATGCATCATTATTGATTCGAATTGAAATAAATCGATTACTCTATCTTCAATCACTAGAATCGGATTCTAATAATATAAAGAGTAATAATAACACACGTCACTGAAGCAGAAGAAAAAAATGTTAACATAAAATATAGAGGTAAAATCACTTACTCATGACTCTTATATTATTCTCTTAATAAATAAAAATAAATTCAAGAAGCACATTTTTATTGAAGAGAAGGGTAATTCAACTCCCAACTTGATTAGAACGATTAATACTAGTCAAATAATGTACTTAACATTAGAAATGACAATTAGCTCCAACCCCTGCCCAACCCCATGAACCGCAGCCTGTAAGGTTTTCCTCACCTCGATAAGAAAATAGGAAGGTGACGGGATTCAAATCTCCTACCCCATTCTATCCATCCCCACCTCCGTTTTATGTATAATTTAATTTTTTAAATACATTACAAAATATTAACCTCACTCTCATGTTTCAATTCTCTATCTCTCATATTTATTATTGTAAAAATATATGTATTATTGATTGATTGTATTGATTGATTGTTGTACAGATATCTATTACAAATGGTGAGTGGCTCATTATATAGGAGAGGGTGAGTGTAGTAGGTGAGGAGTAGGTGGTGGTAGGTGATGGTAAATTGGTGGTAGGTGATGGTAAATTCTAACAGCCCCCCGCAAACTCAAGGAGGATAGAAACTAACCAACTTGAGTTTGAAGAGAGGAACAAAACAAGAAAAAACATAAAAAAAAAGGATAGGAGACACTGTATGGTCGTGTCAGCTACTAGACATCCTATATCTCTAAAACACTTTCTCACTCAACTCCAAATTTTGTCGCTTGAAATCCTCCTCTTTGACTGCTACCTCCACATAATGGCTAGAAATTCAAATATAATAACTCATTAAGAAAATATATAGAATAATTATTAACCAGAATAATCTCAAGAGGGGGAAATTCAAAAACCCCTACAATGTGCTTTTTGGACGAATACGTAAATTTCACATCACCAAAAATCCCTTCATACCCCTAACTTATATGCAAATAGACAAGCCACCGATGCACATAAATGTCTTTAACATTGGTATGGGACTTATTAGTCTACAAGTAAAAAGATAGGACTAAATGATTCATAAGACTTAAACTTAGGATTTATTGGTGCTTTACCCTATATATAATTGTTTTAAAAGATATATTATGACACATGCACGGTTAGAAAATGATCTTCCAAATTTTACATAAACATATGTTAGAATTTTAGTTGAACATCACTATTGGACAACGTGGATCTGTCTAGAGAGGGCAACATTGAATGATGGTTTCACTAGGATACTGACCATCTACCTCATAAGGTTTTCGGGATAAAAGTTGCAAGTAATCCAACCAAGTGAAGGAAGCTATTTACGAGAAGCCAATCCTAAAAATGAGGAAAGAGCGACTATAAAAGGACACCAACCCTCACATTTTCAATACACAATGAATAAAGGCTACAACACACTCTAAATTCTTTTCTACTACGTTCTTATTCTCTCTAGATTCTTTCTGACTTAGGCATCAGAGTGCTCTTATTCTCTCTAAATTCTTTCTAACTTAGACATCAGAGTGCCTAGGCTGCACTAACCGTGCCCTGTCTCGCAAAATCACTCTAGAAGATCCGGATTCCACCCAATGAAGCATAAATTAAAGACCATACAACAAAAAAAAAAATACAAAAACAAAAACAGATACTTTCAGCATGAAAAAAAGTGAGAATATGTAATTTACATATGAAGCAGTAGCATAACAGATGAAACTACTATCATTCACCTTTCTCAAAGCAAACTCAAATCTAGAGGCTCCAAGGTCTCAAACAACTCTTATTACACAAGCAATTTGCTCTGGGTTGAATTAGCAGCGATGAGTTATGGTGACAAAGAAAAGGGAAAAGAAAGAAACCCATGTTTCTAACTGAACTTATCTTGCTTTTTTAAACGCCATCTAGAATACCCTCTAAGGTGAGTATGTTCATGTGGATGACGAGCTGCTTCCTGCTAATCTGTTATTGTGAGAGCGGGACTGAGATGAGCCAGAAGACCGGAATAAAGACAATGGATTCCATGATCTCTTGCTATTGCTTCTACTCAGACCACTTGAGCTGCTTCTAGTATGAGCCCTTGAGCTTTGATTGCTATGAACATCATCAGATCTCTGTAATGACAGTTCCTGCCGACAAACAGGGCATGAGTTGTGCTGATTTAGCCAAGGAACAATACAATCAGAATGATATATATGGTTGCATGGCATTTTTCTCACGTGAGACCCAGACTTAAATTTTTCTTTGCAAACAGCACAGTGTGCATCAGAACGAAGGTGCTTATGCGAAATTTTAACAGTAGGCATCGCATCAATCAAAGATTTGGGTGCTGGGTGAGAACCCCGTTGATCTCTAGTAAGCTCTTCGATAAGTTCTTCGAGTCCAGGACCAACAAAATAATTCCCACCACTACCTCGCCTAAATCCGCCAGATTCATTGAATAGTTCTTCAAATCGACTGTTCTCAGGCACTTGACCGCTGAAAATCAACCAAGGACTAAAGCCACCTTGTTCAGGGTGTGAATCTGACCTCCCTCTACTATCAACACTGTTGTTTATTCCCACTATTCGCTCTCTCAAAAAGTTCAAGAAAGAATCCACTAATCCGGGCCTCTGGTCATGCTGTTCAACATTGTACACCCACAGTGTTCGATAAAGAAGGATTGACATCCTGAGATCTGAATAAGGTTGAATCACAAGAAGCCGGTAGTTTTGAAAATGAGATCTCCACGCTCATCAACTGCAGATTCAGAAGAGAGATGATTCCATCAAGCAAGTTGTCGACAGACAAGGACGAACTGGAGTCTTCGACGGTAGCAAAGCCATCAGCAGCGGCGAGGCTCCTGCGGCAAAGATGCCATCAGCAGCGGAGATGACGGTGGTGGCGGCGAAGATGCCGGCGGCGGAGAAGTCGGAGTCCCCAAAGGCGTGCTCGAGCGGGAACGGGACTTTGGAGGCCGGAGTTGATGAGTTGGTTCGGGCCGGGCTAATTGGCTGTGAAGGAGTAACAGTAGCAGGTGGAGTGTTGAAGATCAGGAGGAGATCTGTGACAACGTGACTGGGCGGCTCAGCCTCGGCAGAGAGGCGGTCGAGGGAGGAGCAAGGGGCGCCGAAGTAAGCGACGGGAGTGAGAGGGAGCGGTTGGTCTTTGAGCTCCTGAGACATTGTGCCGATGATGGCGCAGAGGCGGTGGTGCATCAAATTCGAATCCTTCCATGGAGAGGTGGCACAGACAAAAGATAGAGGACGAGATCTGGTGGATCCAGTGAGGCCCGGAGAAGACGGAACTTGTGAGGTAGTAGTAGCGCTTGATGAATTCTTCCACTGATGAGACTGAGATGGGTATGTGTAGAGGTCCGGCGGGCGGCCTAAGACGAGGTTGCCGCCCGCCGGTGAAGCGAAATTATTAGAGTCTTAGCTTGGCTCTGATACCATGTAAAAATATATGTATTATTGATTGATTGTATTGATTAATTGTTGTACAGATATCTATTACAAATGGTGAGTGGCTCATTATATAGGAGAGGGTGAGTGTAGTAGGTGAGGAGTAGGTGAGGAGTAGGTGGTGGTAGGTGATGGTAAATTGGTGGTAGGTGATGGTAAATTCTAACAATTTGTGAACTATATTATTGTGACATTTTGAAGGCCCTTTTTATTCATATATACTTTGGTCTTTTGTTTTGGCTCATTATATAGGAGAGGGTGAGTGTAGTAGGTGAGGAGTAGGTGAGGAGTAGGTGGTGGTAGGTGATGGTAAATTGGTGGTAGGTGATGGTAAATTCTAACAATTATTATTATTATTATTATTATTTTTGATTGGCAATGGGGTGTTCGGTTCAAAATAACCTGACTAATCCTCAGAAGTATACAAGCCCTCGATAAGGAGTTTCCTGCAAGTACACTACGGTTAATTTTTCTCCAGTCCGATGGCTCCAAGGAACTGTTAACACCTAAGATGTTTCGATCTTTGAACCTTGGAGGGAGCACACCCCCAAGACCCAAGGCCTTGCCAAAAGGTCAACCCCTTGGGGTTACTCATATTTATTATTTTAATTATCAGCACTTATCAATTGTTGTCTCTTATATGCTATATCATCTATCCCTCATTTGTACCACCCCTTCTAAGGGTGGCAAAATACCATGACATTGCCCTACCCTGCCACCACATCGATTTTCTTAGCCTCGTTAAGGAATTGAGTGGGAACGAGACACCACCAACCCAATCCTGCCTCGTTTGTCTGCTGCCATTACTATTTACAATAAAACCAACCTTGCAATTTGGGCCCACATACTATGGGCCAATTCTACATACAAAATGCAACATAAAAGTCTTCTTGGACTGAATCCTAGAACTTTCTAGTTTAGCGGAATTAAATGTTCAAAGTTGATATTATTTCTACGGTTAGGATTTGGCCCATAAGACTTTTATGTTAATAGACCCAAATCGACTTTAACAATGAGCCCAAAAACAATAGTTATGCCATTAGGTTAACCAAGCTCCTTGATGTTGTAGTCCTCCTAAAGAACTTTCTGTTGGCACAAAAATCGCATCAATTTGAGATTGCATGAAAAGCTATGTCCGTTTATACAAAACGAAGCGTATCAACAAAGTCAATTCCTCCTAATGGCTCCAAATCATATGGTGATCCTTGTGGATCAATACACAAACCTAAATTTATTTCAAAGGTGTGTATAACAATTTGAATGGTTAATGGCAACATTCAAACATGTTAACTATTGACAAAAAATTATAAATGCATTAATATCTCATAGCATGTGCAACCATACTTGATTGCAGCAAGGGGTATAAACTAGATGTATTTAGGTATTGGAAATTACCCTGTGAATGCCATCCAACAATCTCTTACTTGTTTACTAAAACAGTGTGTCATATAGTTGCCAATAAACTTCGTTTTTCGAGTGAATGAGTTCTCCACAAAACTCATTTAAAAAATTGGGAGATCTATGTTATATAGATTCTTCTAAATGTATGAAGTACCCATGTCAGACACTCAATTCTTGGATAAAGGTATGATATATGTATCCAACATGTGTAAAATATTCACCTCGCAAAATTTTTTGTAATTCGAATATTTTATGAAATCCATATATTATGCATGAAAAACTTTATGAAGCCTTGTCAACATCATTTTACCCTAAAAAATATAAGTACATCAAGAAAGAATATTTTGTCATGTCATCATGTCTTTGGACATGAGAATTAGATGAATTGGACACTTACACGCGTACCCACACTTGACATCAGTATCAGAGTCCCTATAACATAGATTGGGATGAAAAATTCAAGAAAATTTGAGGGTAACCACTTGGAGATCTTTACAAACATTGTAGAAACAATGTATAAACTTGTAGGCTTTCAAATTTTAAGCTAAATAAATTGTAAATAAGTTTTACCAAACAAGGTTGTATGCTCTTGAAGCCCTTTCTCAATTACAACATATAGTTTCTATTTAGAATATCTTCAATTATTACAAGAAGTTTACACACCTTGTTAAACAGTTAACAACCAACTCATTTAAAAACTTGTTAGAGTGAGATATAGATTAATCACTTGTATTCTCAACAAGCCTCCTCATGTATAGCAAGACTATCTACCATAAGTGAACTAAACACGTGCAAGTACTGAAATAATTGGGTAAGTGGTGAGATTTGAACACAAGATCTTCTATCTACTTAAACCAAGTTGAATGTTAACAATATAACATAATATACGATCTTTCAAATGATTCAAATTGGTTCTCGCAAAGGTACTAGGCTCAATTTCTCATAAAAAACCTGTTCAATCAAATCATTTCTCACTTCATGATTAGAACATATCAACTCTGTTCTATCAAGCAGATCTATTTTTGAAAACCAAGCTGTCCAGCAAATACATTTGAAACACATAAATAACATACATCTACTTTCTTATCATATGGTTATGCCATTCATATCGAGGAATGAAAAAGCAACCTACTAAAAAGCAATGACCTCAATATTCCAACACAACGTCCATTTAAATGTCAACATGGATGACATATTGGTCAAGACAAGACCCAAGTTAGATATGACAAGAGAAGCTAGTCTTTTGTTGAAATACACCAATCAATTGAAGTCTATCATAAGAATCCGCTAATCATTTCTGATTCTATCATAAACTAGAGTTCAAATCTAAGGGACAACCTAGAGAATGATAACCATAATGCTTATTTAAATTATTAGCTTGGTTTGGTTATCTCCATGTTCCATTTTACTTTTTGATGGCCAAATGGTGTCATATATTATGCTTAAGTTTTGAGTTACTTAGGGATACAACTCGAGCGAGTTTGGTTAAGATGGGAGGGCTGTCTAGACCCAGCTTGAACTATCCAGCAAAAGCCCAGCCTGAGCTCAGCAAATCAAGCTCAGATTACACTCAGGTTGCCCAACCTTCCCAAATAACGACAATCCAGCCAAAAAAAATGCAAAACAAAAAAAAAAAAGAAACAAAGAAAAAAAGAAGAGGAAAACAAAGGTTTCTCACCTTATACACCAACTCTAGCCGATGCATTTGCATTGTCCAAGAAGTAGTTCTTTCTATCCTTGTTGATGTTATACACATCCAGATTACATCGTGGGAAGAATATTTCGTTGAAAGCCCTTCAGATTTCTATGAATGCCATGGCGAGACCACCTACATGGAGGAGTTCCATAGCCAGACCACAGCAGTTCATCTAGAGTCCATGTGCAAAGCATGGTTGTTAAAATCGCGATCCAGATCGTAGGATCATACGATCTTACGATCCTACATTGCTAAAACGATCCAAATCGTTGTAGGATCGATGTTATAACAGGATTGCAAGTAGGATCGTGTAGGATCGCATGGGATCATGTAGGATCGTATGGGATCGCAAGTAGGATCATAGATTTTATGATTTTTCACCTTATTTTTAATATGTATCATTTTAATTTTATTTTTATCTTTTTTTTTAATAGAAAGTAGGATCTTACGATCCTCAATTCGATCCACCGGACCCTCTCACCGATCCTACTTAGGATCTCGATTTTAACAACCTTGGTGCAAAGGCCAACGGCCTGAACAAGAGTGATTTATTTGCCTGACAGAGTTTGTTAATCTATATATACAAATATGTTGTAGGGTTTTATATATTATGTATAATAATACAAGATAATCAATACAAACGATCTGATATTTGATACCTCAACAAAGCAAGCAACAAATATGCTACTGCCAAACATTCTGGGCGATGGAAATATCCATTTTTGGTTTGTGATCTGCCATTGGAGGACTTAGCTACCAAGCTAAAAGAGACAATTTGAGAGAAGCTTCAAAGAAGAGAATGCTGTTATGGCCCCATATAGCAAAGAAGTGTGTGTAATATAGACATATATCTAAATGTGACCCAAAGACTGAAAAATGTTACCAAGCACAGAAAAATTCCGGGTTGCTTGGGTTCAACTTGCCCAAGTTTCAACCCTAGAGTTACTAACCTCCACCATAGTCACAACCAAATTGGTGGACCTTTTAATGATAGGGTTCCTCATAAATTATCTTACATACAAAAGACTTGGTACCAAAAGGAAAGACTAAAGGACCATTACATGTGAAACTACAATTATGGATGGAAGTTGCAGAACTTGAATGAAAGACGACCATAACAAAATCAACCAGAGACCATGGATGAAGATGGGCGATGGTTTGGGAGGTACGTCCAACAACAACATGGTTAAATACGAGCACCAAAAGACAACAATCTCAGGTAGAAAAGACAAGTTCATATGAACCACAAAATGGTTCAAAAACCTATCATGATCAAAACCGGGATTAGAGCTACATAACTATATAAGATAGCCAAAGAAGACAAGCTGCAATGATGGATAGGCCCAAGAAAACTCTTCAGCAAAGTCAAATTGGAATCCGGCTCACCAATTTAAATGACAAAAACAAACTGAGAATGGAGTCCCAACAGCAATAAGTCCCACTTAGAAGGTCAATATAAAATAAAATAAAATAAACAAATCAGCTGGATTAATAACTTTAACTTCTTATTCGCATACTCTTGTTGAGACAATTACAAAAGATTTCACAACATCCGAGGCGTACTGAGATTTGAGCGGCTAACATCATTTTATCTGGATGATTTTGGCACCTAAGCTGCCCATGAGACCTAGCAAGTGGTGGGTTCCAAACCTTTCTTTCAATTGACTTGTTATATTTATGGCCACATATCACACAAGTTGTTCTACAAAAGCAAGCCTTGCAGATTTAAGATTGCATTCACCCCAAGCTCACACTAGAATAATCCGAATCTGTGACCTGAAACCTTGTAATATAGTCACAAGTTGTCACGCAAGTGCCAAAAGACACTCGTAAAATGCACAATAGTTTCAAGAAAGGTCCAATGCCTGATGCAGCACATCTTCTTGCAAATCTTGGGAAATAAGGCCAGCCATGGCTGAAATATGTGCGCAGGTTATCTATTTTTAACAGAATAATGACAATTAATTTTAGTTAATTCACGGCTATTGCCAGGTTGTTCTGTGAGTCTGTGTTGGGGGAGAACTAATCCATGGAAAAAAAAAAATCAAGAACGTAAGAGGTCAGAAGTAAAGCTACAAGATAATAATATAAGTCTTAATTTTATTTTTTGGGGTAAATATATAAGTCTTAGATAGTTTTGAGCAAGCACAATTCTGAGAACTAAAAGCCGAAGGAGACAGTAAATAAATTGAGTTAATAAGGAAAGACTAATCTCTCATAGTATGATGGAAATGATGTTTTAGATCTGCTGAAATCAATAAACTGATTTATATTTCCAATATTGTTGACCGCAAGTATTGGGATAAAAAAAGGTCATTAACAATTTGTGCTTTTGGACATGGGAATGAAACTTGAAAATGAAGTTTGATAGTCTGTTCCATCATGGCAGCCGAAAATTTTCTTTTTCACCTCTAGGAAAGTATTTAAATATGGAAGGTCTATACACTTGTACCCTACACAATCAAATGTCATTGAATTTAAAGATGTTACATGATGAATAGGCAGAGAAGTGTATACTATAATATTTATATCTAATGCAAACATGCCACTATGCCAGTGCATAAACATAGAAATCAGAGGATTTACATGAGTCATCAAACCAAAAAGATGCCTTCTACTTTTGCAAGCCAACAACATGTGAATGGAGAAAGATTTAAAGTGTCACATTATTAAATACTTCTTGAAACAATAGCATTATAAACTACAGACTACATAATAAACAAAATGGTCTCCTAGGTATAACTACCCACAGCAAGTGTGAAAGATAAAGACATGATACAAAAGAAGTTTCAATAACTGGAGTAGTTAACAAAAGGTAAGAAGTTTACCATTGAACTAGATGAATCTGTATTTCATCCTACAGATGTAGTGAAACATTTGCATTCACAGATATTAGATGAATGCTGCTCGACTGTTTCAGCACATACGTGCTATCCAATCAAAAGGTGCACTATGAAGTAAGTGTATCCAAAGGATTTCCATAGCCGTGCTTGCACATCAATCCTATCACCTGCTCAAGTTTATACTTTTGACCACATATAGAGTATGCCTTATATAGTATCCAAAATGTCTTTTTTGTGCGAACGAAATTCAAATTCTCCATCTCATCAAGGACTGTCTCCATTTCGGCAAGGCGCTTCTGTGATGCATACATGACCATCTTGCAGTGGTACAGGGACCTACAGATTCTCCACCCACTACACTCTGCACGCTTTACAAAATTTGCAAGCTTGTCCACTGCATTGCTTCGGAAATAACTTGCAATGATACAACGCATCACACCAACAGTTGTTACAGAGGTACTATGCTCAAATGCCTCATTGATTGAATTCTCCATCCCCTCTAGTAAATCCTCTTGTGCATATAACCTAATCAATAGCACATTCAACCAAGGCCTATACTCATTTTCGGGAATGAGCCTCAACAAAGCCTCAATCTTTTTAACTCTACTTTTGTCAGAACTTTTACAATATGCACATATCATAGATCTGATCAATGGAGTTTCGTTCTGACTAACATGATCTTTTACCAATTCATATATCCCTTCCATCTTTTCCAAATTTCCAGAATGTGCATACCCTCGAAGAATTAGGGAGTGGGTGATAATATCAGGCTTTACATTGCCTGCTTTCATAATTCTATAGGTCTTCTCCATACTATCCCACATCCAAGCTGTAATGTATCCAGCAATCAAATTATTGTACGTACTCAAATTGGGAGAGAGATTTAAATCCTCTATCTCGCGAAAGGTTGCCTCCATGTGATCTACCAACATCAACCGCCCAAAGGTGGAAATAAGTATATTATATGTTACAATTGAAGGAATACAATTTGCATCCCTCTTTAAATCTCGAAACAACAACTGACACTTCTCAGCAAAACCGTTGAACATATAAGCACCCATAAGTGCATTGTATGTAGAGGTTGCCTTGCATCTCTTGTTAGAAGCCTCTGTAAAAAATTCAAGTGCAAGATCAACATTCCTCATTCTACCAGCAACTGTAATACCCTTGGCATATTCCCCTGCTGTCATTGGAATGCTAAAATCTGTTTGTCTCCTTCTCCAATTAAAAACCTGAGGGGAAAACAATCATTGAATAAATAAATAAGCTCTTCAAAACTAAGTTTCGCAAGAGCAGAAATTGAAAATTGTTCTTTCCCAGCAAACTGAACTTGTCTTAGGTCAGAAATAATTGCAGAGGAACTGTCTGAAAACCCATGGAAACTGAAAACAGGGCCTATATTTTACATTGCATTAGGACATGAACAGACAAGTTTCTAATGTAGTCTCAAAATATCACCGCGGTTGCCAAATTACAGAAATAAGCTACTCCATAGGAAACTCTTTTCACCAAAAACTTTCGTGTGACGTGTGACTAGGAGTTGAACATTGTTCATCCCAAAATTTGCATCACTAGGTTATGCACGACGAATAGGGACAGCGCCGTAAGGGCTGTTCTGGGGCTGTGAAGGTGCTGAAATTTAAAAAAAAGAAAAGAAAAAAAAAAGAGAAGAGAAGAAGATAGATATAGGAATCACTCATAGAATTCCTTAGGCATCACACCAAGGGTTTGATTGCATCACACAATCCATAAATAAGCTTCAAAGCTCTCAACTTTTATAAAATATCAACTCTATTGAATAATAAGCATTACATGGCTATATATAGAATTAGGAAACTTCCTAAAATCTAATTAAATAACTTGACCCACACGACGAACCATGGGCGACCCATACAACCCATGTCAATAAATATAAAATTAACAAAATACCCCTCACCTAAAAATCTTAAAAAACATAAAAATAATCATAAAATAGAACTATAATAATATTAGAAACATGATTATGTATGGTTCCTATCGATTTCTCTTTGAAATCATTCCAACTTCCAAATATCGCCACTTCTTTGAATTTACTCTTCTTCAAGCTTCTTATATTCGTCATCATTCTCCCCTGGTTAGAAAAAACTCGAGAAGTGTTGAAGTATAAGCATCCACAAGCTTTGAAATTGCATCCGCAACTTCATGCTAAAATCTTTAAGTTGTCACCGCCTTTTCTTTGTTGGAGATAGGAACACAAATTTTGAGAAATTGATCTTGTCCTTCATGAAACTAAATATGTTGGAAATTACAAAATCAATAGAAGGAATTGAAACATTCTTGAATTGATCCAAATCTTAGGCAGCAAAATTCATTCCATGCATTATGTTCTTATTTGGCTCTGTTGGAGAGAATTTAGGCAGCAAATTGATGACTTGTAAGGCCTTATTAAGGTTAGTATTAGCAACTTCTTGTTGTAATTCTTCTATCCCTACATCTTGTGTGGCCTCCAAATCTTCTATTTGGACAATACCCAAGCCTGTAGACTCCAGAAACAACTCTCTTGGCTCTAAATTAGATTCAGCCAGTAACTTATTAACATCTAAAGACAAATTTGGTTCTGCACCAGCAACTTGTTCTTGAGACTCTTGAACAACAATTTTTGTAGGGGATTGTTGGATTTCTTTTGAATCATCAATAACTGCTTTTCATTCTTCGAAATTTGGTCACCTTTCCCCATGGAAAAAGTTTGCTTGTCATCCACAAAATCTATCTTGGAACACATAGAATTTGGGTTAACAAATTTCTTTAAAGTTGGTGCCCCTTTGGGTGTTTTTGATTCATTAATCAAATTATTTTCTCCCCTTATAATCTGACTGTTTATGACCTTCTGTTGGGCAGCTCGTCTTTCCAAAGAATCAAGCCAAACTTGAAAATTATCCAACTGCTCCACAATTTTAAAAAGAATTTGATTTCTTCGGTTTTCTGAAAATATTCCCCTTCCAAGAGATCTTCTAGGATGCGTAGACATGTTTCGGAACTTCCACAAAACAATAGGATCTTTCGCTCTGATACCAAAATTGATGCAGGACAATACGGACAGTGTCGTAAGGGCTGTTCTGGGGCAGTGAAGGTGCTGCAATTTAAGGGGGGGAAAAAAAAAAGAAAAAAGAGAAGAGAAGAAGATAGATCTAGAAATCACTCCTAAAATTCCTTTGATTGCATCACACAACCTATAAAGAAGCTTCAAAACTCTCAACTTTTTATAAAATATCAACTCTATTGAATTATAAGCATTACATAACTTTATATAGAATTAGGAGGCTTCCTAAAGCAACTATAACAAAAAAAAGAAACTATTATAATATATTTGATTTTTAACACTAATTTAAGACTAAATAAGAAACATAAATAAAACCTAATTAAATAACTTGACCCACACGACAACCCTTGGGCGACCCATACAGCTAAAAATCCTAGAAAACATAAAAATATAAAATTACAAAAATATCCCTCACCTAAAAATCCTAGAAAACATAAAAATAATCATAAAATAAAACTATAATAATATTAAAAACATGATTATGTATGGTTCCTATCGATTTCTCTTTGAAACCATTCCAATTTCCAAATATAGCCGCTTCTTTGAATTTACTCTTCCTCGAGTTTCTTATATTCTTCATCACTAGGTTCATTGGTTTAACTTAAAAATAACAGTCCCAAGCAAATGGCAATTTAATATCTTAAAGCACACATTTTTGGGCATCTCCAACCCTTAACTCAAAAATTAGACTCAAACATAGATTAGAGTAAAATCCCCTCCACTCCTTTCTCAAACTTACACCAAATTGAGTTTTACACAAATCAAAGGAGACCTATTTTCTTTACTAAAATTTCTCAAACTTTGACACTTGTGCACTTTTACCCTAACTTTCCACTAATATCTTTTGCTCCAAACACGTAGCTTCCACTTCAAACTTGACATTTGGCACTTTTACTCGAATTTGAATTTATCATTGGAGTGCTTCATATCAAATGAAGCTTTTTGCTCAAAATTCACACTCAATTTGAGTAAAAGTAAGAATTGGAGATGGTCACCAATTTTTTCATCAAATCTAACTTCAAATTTGAGGAAAAAAACTTGATTTGATATGAACTATTCCAATCTTTTCATCGAAATCTTTTTAAAAATTTCACTCTGATCCCAAGTTTCCCTTTTCATCAAATTTGATAAATTACCAAAAAATAATAATAATAATAAATCACCTTTTTAAATTTTCATCAAATTCAAATTTAATGAAGAATTTGATCAGTTCTCAATTTGATGAAAAAAATGACTCTCCCTTGATTTGATGAAAAGATTGGAGATGAACTTTGAACACTTTTTAAATTTGATGAAAGAACAGATGAAAGATTGGAGATGCTCTTAGCAGTTTAATTTGGAAATTCAATCTATTGTGTAAAGCGCAAATTGTACATGTTTCTAACAAATGTCAATCAAAAACAAACAAACATTGGGGCACTCATAAGAACATCAAAGTTCAGAGAGCATTACAAGACACTACAAAGAGAAAATAGTAATTATAATTAATTGGTGAAAAACACAAGGGACTCAATCAATTTCTAGGGGATTCTCTTCTCCAAGAAACCACTAAGGGGCAACACAAACAAATCAATTGTAGATCGCAATTGCAAATCTGAATATCATAAATAAAAAATAAAATACGGAAATTACTACTACGTGAAGAAGAACACCTCTATGGCTAACGGAGGCCAAGAACGCAACTGATTCAACAGCTCAACAAAAGCAGAACCATCCGAATGAATCTTGAACAAAGAAACCCCCTTTTCTTCCAAAACCCTCACAATCTCATCAGCATCATCGACACTCTGAAGCAATTCGTCTCTCAAAAGCGAGACCTTAACGCAGAGATCTTCTCTGGCTCTAATGTCGGCACAACTCCACTTGTTGGCGAACAAGCCGATTATATTCGGGAATGAGAAGGAAGAGGGTTTAGGGTTTTGGGATGCGTAGAGTTCTCGAATGAATCTTTGGGTGGAGATTTTGGTTAGAATGGGTAAAGGGTTTGTTAGGGTTTTGGGTTTTGCAGAGCTCCTGTGGAGGAACAGCTCTGCTTGTGCTGCGTCTGAGATCCTCCACACTCGTTTCATCATTCTCTTTTATTACTACTGGCTCTACCATACATCGTTCTAGGGTTTTGGAAGGGTTTATCTGATTCAATTCAGACAGCTCTGAGAGAGAGAGAGAGAGAGAGAGAGAGGCGAGAAAGTACAAGTGTTTGGGTACGGTGTTGATCGAAGCTCTGCGGAGTTGTACCGCGTCAGGGATATGCAAAAACCAATCCATCATGGGTTTTGGTATCCACTAGTCCAAACAACTCTGCCTCTGGCTTGGGCCAAGTTTGGGCTGGGCTTCGCATAAAGAAAGTTGGATTTGGAAAACTTATCAGTTGGTCCTATTAGTTGAAGTTATTACCCAATACGTTATGAGGGAGGTTTTTATTGACGTACATTATGTCTTGGGTCTTTTTTGGCAATGTTTAAAAAAGTCAAGTTATTGGTTTATTTGGTTCATATTATTTTTTTATTTTTTTTCACAACTTTTTATAATAAGCAAAAAAATTAATTTATAAATCATCCAAAACAATCGTTGAAAATTCGTGCTTTTTTACTTTTCGTGGAATCGTTGACTTGTTTGTAGGTAGTCAAACGAATCAAATTGCTCAAGTTTGTAATTCATATTTGTTTGATTAAATAATTATTTGAAATCCGTTCCTTATATAAATAAATGTAAGTTTGAATACATTTTAAAACTTGATAATTTTTCAAGTTTAACTTAAGCTCTGTTCATAAACTTATATGTACTAAAAAATTGTATAAAAAATTCAACATACTTAAACTCAACTCCTAATCGGTTTTATTGAATCTCATTTAAAATTGACAAGTCTTATAAAAACAATTTTTGGGTAAATTAGATGGGCTCGAAAAACCTTATGAAACAATCAAATCGGATTGCATTTACTTTTGGATCTTAAATAACTTGGGCCGAGTTGAACATTGAACAACAAAGTTGTAATTGGTTATGTTCTCTTGTTCTATCCAATACAATTTTTTTTTTTCCATAAATAAACTCGTATACCACTTTCATAATTATCAACAAAATAGTAAATATTATAGTAAAAAAAAAAAAATGTTGTTGTGAACCATTATTGTGAATTGTTCATTGAATTATTTCTATGCATTTGCTTATATCTTATCTGTGTGAACAAATAGTTTATGTGTAGTTAAAAAAATGCAAAAAAATAAATTATTTATACGTACTTATTTTTTATAATAATTAAACATTTTTTTTACTAGTATCTCTTCATTTTATTCTCATCTTTCCAACTAAACAAAAAAGAAAAATATACAGCTCCTTTTTAAGTTGAATGTGCAACCACTCTTTCAAGTGTCCAAATACAGCAATAATCAACCAACTACTACTAAAGTAAGCTTATTAAATGCTTTGAGAAGCCCTGGCCAACATGAAGTAGTCATGAAAGCTACACAAGCATGGTCTATGAGGCCTCAATAATAAGCAACCAAACCAATTATTACTGGAAAGGCTAATTATCCTCATAATGCATTCACCATTTTATCACTTTTTGTTATTTGTTGTCTTGCATTACAAAACAAGGGAAGTCTCTACTTCTTTGAGTGGGTAGAGAGAAAGTTGATAGTAACAACTGCAGTTGTATTTGGTATAACTCATTACAAATTAAATGTTTATAATTTAAAAAAACCCCTCTTATAAGCTAGGAGAATGATACTTTTAATTTTTTAATTTTTAATTTACAACAAATTGCAACCTAATAATGTATTGTTGCTTGGCTTTTACAATAATCTAGGTGAAGTTATACTTTTGGGCCCTGTTCTATGAATGTGTACATGATTTTCTTAGGTTGGTCCACTCCTATAGTTTGATTATATTAAATTAAGCCTTGTTTGATTTTTTGATATAGGAATTTGGATGGGAGATTATATACCGTGGGGGCCCTATATATCCTGTGTTTGTAATTTTTTTGGAGGAGAATATAGCATACAACTGGATTGTATATCCCCAAATGGGTGGATATATAATACCCACTCTCCCCTATTATACCATATCCCATCAGATGGGATAAGAACTAAAAATACAATTTTACCGTTTTACAATGAGAAATCTGATTATGTGTATATATGAACTTTACAATAAGAAATTTGATTGTGTATATGAGAAATCCGGTTGTATATGACCAAAAAAATTATGTTCATGAATTTTATTTTTACATTTTTACAGTTAAATTTTTTACATAACCAATATATATAAACAAAAACGTTATTTCCTTTTTGGGATTCAAAGTTTTAATTTAATATTTTTAATTTTAAATATAAAAATATATTTATAATCATACTAATTAAAAAGGTTTTGAATTTCAAAGTTTTAATTCAAAAACTATTTACCAATTTAATAAGTAAATAAATAAGTGGACCAAATAAACTATGATATGTATTTTATTTTATTTTTTAAAAATTTGCTAATTAAACATTTTATTTTATTTTTAAATTTTCTAATTAAACTATAATATGTATTTTTTATTTGTAAGAATTTAGAATATACAATTAAATTTAGAAAAATAATTTTAAAAATGTTAAAACTTAATTGATTCTAAATTATTTTTCTTATATATTTTAAACAAAATTATATTATTATTTAATTTTTGATAATGTTATTACGTAATTGATTGTTTTTTATTTTATATATATATATATAGACAACTATTACAAAAAGGTTAATACAATCACAAAACATAAATGGAAAACTTCTCTAAATACTTCTGTTACTTCTAGTCATCCTCCATTAGCTAATATAATTATTGAACACCAAGGATTTGAAGTCCCAGCCGCTCCTTTTAAGCTGCCTAGTACTGACCCTGAAATCAGAAAAGTTATTGAACAAAATAATTATACTAATCAATGTTTAAAAATAATTGGTAAACAATTAGATAAAATAGAAACCAATTTAGATGATTATTCGGCTAACAATACATCTACTAAACAATCCTTAGATCAACCTTTGCTTAATCTACCTAGTAATTGTTCCAAACGAAATAGTTTAGTTACCCAAGATAATACTGTTAAAGCCATAGAAAAATTACTTACCAAATTAACTACTTCTGAGAAAGCCTCTCCTTCTACTAAAAAAGGTCTTACTGTATTAAATCAACAACCTAGTATCGACACTGTTTCTCATCAATCTGAAACTGATACAACTGATGATGAAATTAATCAATTAGCTCAACAATTTCAATCCTCTAATCTAAATAAAATTCATTATCCTAAGCCTAATCCTACATCTCTTACTAAAAACTGGTATTCTAGACATACTCCTCATGATCTCCAATATGAAGAAACTAATCTTAATAATCAATTTTATGTATCTGCTAAAAAATTGTACGAGTGGAATATTGATAGTCTTAGTGAAGATCAAATACTTCAAAAATTAAATCATTTATCTATGGTTGCAAATAGTTATTTTAGTAATTACCCTGATTACACTCAACCTGAAATTGCTTCTTTAATCACTTTTGGTTTTACTGGCATGCTCAAATCTTGGTGGGAAAAATACTTAACTGAAGATCAAAGAGAATCTATTTTACATGCTAATCAAAAAGATGAAAATAATTTACCCATCTTTGATAAAACTATTGGTTACTATAAACCAAGGTTCTAAATATCGGCCGGTACGTTCCGTACCGGCCGGTTCGTACCGGAAATTGATAGGGCCGAGTCGGATACTCACCAGTATACCGGCGAGACTGAATTTCACGGCCGTAGCGGCCGATTCCCGACACGTATCGGGCTGAATCCGATACGTAAGCGATTTGTTGTCCGATACATGCCGATGCGGCTGAAAAACGAGCAAAGCTCAGTGTCTTGTGTATGTATGAGTGTGGCTACTGAGCAAAGCAAAGCATGGAGGAAAAGCAAAGCAATCACCTGGAGGAAAAGCAAAGCAAAGCACTTTGAGGAAAAGAAAAAATAAAGCAAAAGAACCTGCAAAGCAAAGCACTCAATCGGACCAAACCCAACTCCTCAATCAAACCCAAATCTATCTCCTAGGGGCTTCAATCTTGTAAAGTGTTGAAGCCTGCAGGGAGAAGCATCGAATCGAACCCAAATCCATCACCGATTTCAAGCTTCTTCGTTGAAGGTTTGGTCTCTCACTCATGCTCTGTTTGTTTTGTTCTCTCACCGTATGATGCTCTGTTTTTTTTTTGTTTTGGGTCAAGAAAGGAAGTCATAGTTTTGGTTTATAAGTTGTGTTTGGTTCGGTTTGTTTATAATTTTTTTTTTCTGTGATTATTTTTTTAAATGCACATAATTTTTTGTATATATTATTGAGGTTATCGGGAGCAATTTTTTACATAATTTTAAATGCACATAAGTTCAGAAGGTGAATAGAACTCATATTTTACAATTCAGAAGCAGGTTTGTTCTCCCATAATTTTATATATATATATATATATATTATCAGCATAGAATATAATGTTTTATATAGAATATAATTTTTTATATAGAAAAATATTTTTTATATATATTTTAAATGCACATATGCTCAATATATATATTTTTTATATATATTATTTAAAGAGATTTAATCTGTCAGATTTTTTATTAAAAGTTTAACATATATGCCAAATAAAAAGGTTGAGACTAAAATAAATACATATCATTTAGTTGAAAATGAGTCAAGAAAGTGCCTCTACATATCAAAATTTTGATTAAAATGTGATAAATTAAGGCTAAAAGAGTCAAAAAATGCATAAAATTGAGTTTTAGATGGATTGCTAATGATTTTTGAAATTTCACAGCCGCGACGCCCGATACCCGCTACGTACCGGTCGATACTACCGATACCGATACTCCGCGATCGATACCGTTACGTTACCCGATACCGCGATTTAGAACTATGCTATAAACCTGATGGTGTTAACACATTAATCTATACCATAGTTAGACATTTCATAGGTACTCCTCCTAATATATATTCTCGCATCCATAATCAACTTAGTAACCTTACTTGTCCAAAATTAAGTGATTTTAAATGGTATAAAGATGTATTCACCTCCAGAGTTATGTTAAGAGAAGATTGTATTAAATCTTTTTGGAAAGGAAAATTTATTAACGGATTACCTAGTTTGTTTGCTCACAAAATTGGAGATAATCTTAGTCAACCTCCTAGTATCATTGAATATGACAATTTAACTTATGGTGA